TCAGCGAACATTCAGACCAGCAACCGAACTACCTGAGCTACCAACCTTTGCTTCGGTATCTATCCACTTTTTTTGTTTCCTCTTACTACTTTTTGTCTGTTAAGCAAGGGTGCCGCCATCGATACAAGCACTTCCTCCATCAAACCAAGATTTTCATTTTATATTGGTTTGTTTAACGTCCCCACTCTAGGTCAGCTCGGTCAACAGGCAGCATTAACCCTCACTCTTTTCCCTACTGATACAGATGTGGGCTGTCACCGAAACACCCATATAAGATAACAGCGTTTTGACGAATTTTCGACTCCATGATTCCGGATCTGCTAATAATGACTTCACTCCGCTTTTCTGGCGATACTAGGCATTTACGGTTAGTATTGCCATCAGCAAACATTCTGAAAGCAACCTATTCGAAGCAATGCCGGTGGACCGCTTTATGTGTGCGGTTCGACTACGAATTTCCATTGAGATTACTACGCACCCTTTGGAGACAAGCTGCCTTTACATCGCCTCCGTTTATGCCCCTACTGACCGCAATTCGGAAGATATCAAAGGCGATTTCTATCAGCATCTTTCGTCTCTTTTCCATATGGTGATACATACTGGCATAATGGTTGTTGCTGGTTCAGGCTGTGAACAGCGCCTTGGAAGTCGCTTCGTAGTCGATCACGCTGAACAGGCAATGGTGATCGATTCATTCCGCTGCGCTTACCACAACCTTTATCGTAGCAGCATTGTTTTGCAACCCAAGCCCTCCCATCACGTTACCTGGTGCCCACCGAATGACCTAGACCCAGATTGACCATCTTGACATCAGCTATAGATGGCGCACGTTGGTCTATGATTGTTGGTCAGTTTGGAGCACGTGCCTGGATTCCGACCATATTGTAGTGCGGGCACCTACCGCTCTCTCTTGCCGCTTCAAAAAAAACGCTCAACTTTTCGCCTTACTTGTAACTTGAACTCGCAGTCTGCAGTTCAACAATATGCTTACGAACTGGCCAACCAGTCGTCAGGGATGATTTGTATCACTTTCATGTGAATTGCGGTCTACATTGAGATTGCGCATCACAATCCATTAACACAACATGTACTTCAAAATGGCCCTCCAATTACCTTCACAGTACTCCTTGTTCGAGAACCCTCCTAAACTCATCATGTTCGCGCTGACAAGAGCACGGTCTGAGCCAGGAACTGTAGACCAGATTAACACTCAATCCCGTACACTACCCCGCTTTTTAAAGCTAATTGTGATGTGATCAGTCTGAGATAATGGTTGAGTTTCAGAAGCAGGGCGCCAAGTGACGGAGGGTCTCCTCAATTGTCTGAAGCTGGTACTCGAGAGAGGTGATTGTTTTCACCCAGCTTGAGGAGTCCCACAACTTTCTTGACAGCTATCACAAATCCCATGGTTATCACCACGATGACGTTCACATTGCAATAAACGACCGATCCGTGCATTCAAATCCCTAGCATGAACAACGATATCGGATTTACAAGCTCTGCCCAAGCGATGGTGATACTCGTGATAAAAGTCGTCCTTGGCCGAGTCACAACTGCTGTCACTTGAAGTGTACGTGGCGACCACAAACAAGTTGCGTTACTTTTCGCGACGTACGTTGGTTTCACATGAGCACCGAAGCCGAACTACACACTGTCATCCTTTAACTGGGAACAAGTTCAGCAGTGGGGTCTCGGCTTTGCTACATAGTGCTAAACCAACTCCAGCCAAGCTGCTGCGGCTGCTTCTGTGTCATCAGTTAGACGTAGGTGAAATATGGCTGTGTTCGCTGGTTATGTCAACTCAATCACGGTACTGTATCTTGCACTCAGATCTCAACATCATCATTACATCAGCCCTTTGAACTGATGCTTCGCTGCCGTACAACCACGGTGGCCTAAGGAATGAAGAATAATAAGAGGGAGAGAATAGGAACCTAGCGTAAAACTTCAATCCCCTAAGCCAAGGCACCTACACCTTCTTAACAACATATCTTCTCAAATAGCTGGCTATCGTGCAAAGATAAGGCGGCATCGGTGAGACACTTACTTTGCTGCTTTCACTGCCCGACATCATAACCAGGCATTACCCCGAAAATAACACACACTTTAAACAAGCAGTCCGACTAGGTCCCGACAGCCAACGAGTTTCTGAAAGACAGCAGCATCGATGGCGAGGAATTCTAAAGTATCCGAGAGACTGGCCTGTTGCCCGAACTGCATAAGTGTACGTACATTGAAACATGCCAGAAGGAATGAGGATCGAGGCCAAAGGGACTACCTGTTGAGTTTTGTGGGAGCCGACGAAACCAACACTAAGCTCGGGGACCTGTTGTCGCGTCGCTGACCTTGGCGACGATCGAAATCTACTCGATTTCGTACGGGAAATGGACAGCAGGATACCTGCTTGTAGCGAAACTATGTGCAGCGAAAGAAAATGTACTATTCACATCCTGTCAAAGCGCTTGGAACACCGTGCTGTACATTTTGAAAAGTAAGTTAATCAGCCAGCTTCGTTGCTAATCAATGATCGCCCTGCCCTCCTTGGATCTGCCTTTCCTCACAGAAATCCTAAGTGAAATCAGACTATTGACATCGAACAGGGCCGCAAGACCAGATCGACTCTTTCTTATAGATGAGCTGTACGATTTGTTAATGAAACTATGGAGACGAAAACTCCTAACCGACTGAAGCAGTTCCATTGAAGTTCTCAGTATCAAGGGGGCTGACGTTCTGGATGCTTCATTGTTAGTGCGATCAATCTGATCCCCATTCATTCTAAGTTACTTGCCTCTGTTTTTCTTAATAGACTGAATGGCTCCTTTCGAAGTCGGCCCGTGGCCGAGTGGTCTACGCGTCTGGTTTGCAATCATAAGGTCACCGGTTAGAATCCGCTTAGGAGTGGGCGTCCTTGCGGTATACTCAGCCCGCGCGCGACCGGTGGTGGTCGCGCAGCAGCGAAACGCAGTTACGGCATACAGCTGACACATTGTTTTCGAACTTGGGCCACATTGACCACTTTTTTGCTCTACGTCAATTATTCGAACACCTTCCTTCTATCGATGGTAGGCCCTAGTCAGATTCCTCGACATCATCTGTGTCTTCGATTCTATGAATCGATGTGACTTTGCAGACTATTGGATCAGCAATGATGAAAACATGGACTTTATTTGTACACATCCTACGCATTTTTCGGACAGGGTGAGGGCTTAAGGAAGGCTGTCGGCGCCCCTCAATATCTTCAGCAGTGTGAGGCAAGGATGCCTGCTGTCACCTTTACTTTTCATACTCGATATTGACGAAGTTATGGAACCTACATTCACCGAACTTGATTTAAAGGATGTGTAGTTACTTTCAGATAATCAGTTTCGTTGTTTATGCCGATTACATTGGTTTGCTGAGTGCCAAGCAGGACTGAATAGTTTAGCACTAGGGTACAATTATTCCCAGCTGTGCTTTGCACTCTCAAAATCCTAAGCTTTCATCCAGCATTGATAGTAACCAACTCCAACCCTGACCCTTGATGGGAGTCTGCTATGGATCGTTCAGGAATTCGTATACTTGGACAGCTATATCAGCGATCGTGGAATAGATGTCACAAACGTAAAGTAAAGCCCATAATGTTGTTGCTACTCTTCGCTACTTATTGATCCGGCGCGAAATCACTCTCCAGCTGAAGGGTTGTGTCTACGGTACAGCCATCCGTTCAGTCTTTCTATGCGGTTGTACAACGTGGCTTATCAGATCGGCAGACGTAAATGGCTAAGTTCGTTAGACCATAGGTGTCTTCACAATTTCGACCATATCTGGTGGAAACACCGCGGGAGGAATGAGCATGTTCGCCATCTTGTTTATGGCACACTGGGCGTTTGTAGTGTAACGTGAAAATGGGGGGAAGGTAAGTCGGTGACATGGTCACGATGAATGAAGGTCGTCACTTCGACGTTGGACTCAGTTTCTGCCTCCGATTGCCGGGTCGGGACTCCATAGATAATAAACACGCTTAGTTGGACACTTGTTAGTATAGCCACAAGCCAACCTTACTGGCGTTTGTATTGTGAGTATCTTCGTCCCACTCACTCCATCCACTATCCTATCCCCTCTACGTACTAAAAACTGTTTAATGGTATTTGTTTGTCTTTTTATGATCATCAGAATGAGTTGCATTAGGGCGCAATAGCCGAATTGATTTTCTACTCTAACCAACGAGTAGATTAAATGAATCTAATTGGAGTAAGAACGGGATACTATGTTGGCCTCGCTCATCACTCGTTTCATCATGTGCCTTAATCTCACAAGATCTCATTCACCACTACACAGCTGTGTTTGAGCGCATTCACTTTTCATGAACTAAAGAACTATCCGCACTACTTAGTTGGCTGGCATATTCAACAGATGTATGCGCCTCACGGGTACACCACTCGATAACTTCTCAAAAATCTTTACTTGCTTTTTCTAGTCGCCTTTTATCCATAAAAATGGCAAAACATAGTCTATTTCATTAAACGTGATGCGCAGCACTACTGTTTGGTTATTCTCATTGTGTGAATCAACACTGCAGTTACCACACTTCGGAGACCACTAACTGTTTGAGTTCCATCACCGATGCCTACTGCAGCCCATTAGCTGATCTTCTAGCACGGAATCGCATATTCTACATGCCATATTTCCCCTCGTTTGCTTGTTACCGCTTACCTCAGTTTTCTGTTTTCAGGGCTGTGTCCTGTTTGAACGAGACATTTAGTAACCTTTGGCATTACATGTAGAAATGGAGAAACAGATGGGAAAACAATCAGTTTGATGCCTATCATTTTCCTTTGCATAGCTATGGGGTGTCACTCTAATTCTTGGAGTCCCTTATCGGTTGAGGCAATCGTAGAACTCCTTGATCTCTCACCCCGTGGCTTCCACCTCCATTGATTCAAGAGTTCGGTACATATGTTTCCGGATGTTTTTCATTTTAACCCTGTTTCAGTATCCTCAATTCTTTGTTTTAGCACTAAATGAATGTCAACTCATCGAAGCCGTTGGATGTTTCACAGGAAGCAAATACTACGCTCACGACTGTGCCTAATGCAGATGATCCACCTAATTGTGACAATTCTGAAATATCCACACTGAACGGCGACCAAGCCAACAAATCCGCTCTGAGAAAAGATAGCTTATCGAAACTCTCATCGAAAAGGGTAAAAATCGTGGACCCTGGTCCCGCATTAGACTTGGAATCCGATGATGAAGATTCTTTGTCGCAGCATGGTACATTGGAACGGGCGGCTGCGGTTTCCACAGGAGAAAGCACAATTACGATCACCCTCGGCCAGTCTGTCGATCCACAGGCTGCTGCTGTGGATCGAAAGAAGACAAAAGAGGAAAGGAAAAAGGAACGTGAGAAAAAGAAGGAAGAAGAAATGTTAAAAAAATATCAGGCTGAGCAAGAGGCTAAGCAAAAAGTGTCGGCTAAATCCAAATGCGGACGATGGATCAAGCACAATCTTAAGGTGAGGCTCTTCAACTACTGCTGAGTTTATCTTATGACTAGATTGGCGAGGGAGGTTACAAATTTGTTTATCGGGGTTACGACACCGTAGAATCCAGAAATGTTGCATGGTGCGAGTTCAAGGTTTGTTCTTTGTCTATCCTAAAGATATACTTCATAGCGCGAGCATGTAGACACTAAGGAAAAGCGCCAGGCAATGTTCAAGGAGACCGAAATTATGCTTAAAATGAATCATCCACATATTGTGCGCTGTTTTGATGTATTCCGTGAATGGATCGACATGGAGGACCCGAACAATCAAATTGAAGAAAAGGGAGTTGTTATTATCCAAGAGCTAATGGGGGAAGGCACTTTGAAGAGGTATTCATCTTCATCCAACTTGCATTATCTATAGTGTGATCCGGAAAAACTTTCTCGAGGGTCAATGCATACTAAAATTCCCGCTGATCACTCGTTGGTGGCACCAAATACTGGATGCTCTTCGTTATATGCATCACAAAATACAGCCTCCAATTTTGCATCGTGATTTGAAGGCGGATAATTGCTTCCTCTACGGTGCCTCCGATGAAGAATACCTGAACGTAAAGGTCGGTGATTTTGGATTAGCAACACATGTGAATAACAGCGGGAGAAAGACAATGTTGGGTGAGTTTTCCAGCCTTTTGTGTCTCATACTTGGTTACTATTTCCCTCATCTCATCTTCGCGCTTGCAACATCGCGATGCCTCCGAATTTATCCCATTTCGAACATCCTTTATCGCAGTCCCGCTTTATCGCTTTGGATATTTTGGTTACCGGGTGTGACCTCACATAAGCCCTTTTTGTTAACCACCTAGTTAAATAGGAACATAAATTATCATGCATGTTCATTACTCCGTGATTATGTATGCGTTAGCGAGGTCACGTTATTCACATACCCGTCGACAGGTTACTGTCGCTGCATCATGTTGGACGAGAATCTGTGTAAATGCGATTCCATGTTAGCACATAGCGTGAAGAAATTGATCACAGCACCTTATCTAACACGACTTAGTACTGAAATCTGTGCTCCTTTGTGTATCTTTTGCTATTAACCTTTTTATTCTTTTTTGTTTTGTTTTTTCTTAAACATAGTCACTTACCTCCGCTTGTCATCTATCCTTCCATCATCTTGGAGTGAAATTATGGCAGTTGAGTCTACTACACTTCGCTTATCATTGCAACCGTTGTTCCGACGTTACGCATGCTATTACCTCATGCGTTGGCCCTTCAGCAACCTTCATCCACTGCAATATGTTGTCGTTTCCGTCTACGTTAGATTCCGGTTACCTCCATCCACAGATTGTGTAAATTGAGGGGTTTATTACTTGCCAAGCTCGATTACCTAATCTTATCTTTTTGTAAGTAGATCATCATCACACACAAATACACACGTTTTCATCCTTCTCGACAGTTGTTGTCCAGTTCTGTCCAGTTCTAAAGCATTTCATGTACTCCATCAAAAGTATTTTGTATTGCGGCACAATAGCTGAGGTGTTTTCCACCTCCAGCTAACGTGTAATGATGATGATAATGACATCAAATGTACCGAGTATGCAGCTTCACGCGGCCGCCTTTGGTGCTTAGCCTTCAATGGTGAGCTTGTGACTTGACGTCTCTGCGGTGAGAATACACATGGCCTACTACACCCTTACTTCCATACACCTTTACCCTAGCACATGAGCTCTGTTACTCAAATCTAATCGACTGGTATTGTTGTAGAAACAAGATCGGATCTTACTGTGACGCACTGATTTGCCTAACTTGTCCTGTCTTTTGAGCTGAATCTACAACTTTTACCAGTCTTGATAGATCAAGCAAACTGCGTTTCCAATTCCCCCACGTTAGGGACTGACAAAAAGAGAAAAATCAGTGTGTGAAAAACAAACTAAAAATGTTTTCTACATTTTTTCAAAATGTTCATTTCTTCCTGCAGCATATTAGCTGTGTTGCCACCTTCAAGTACTATGACACGATGACTGTCCCTTATCCGCTGATCTCCATGGTTTTCTATTGGCTCTGTGTCTAGTTGCTAGACTGCTGAGATTACTATTACTACTACGTCTTGCAATCAGACCTTGAGAACCGTGATTGTTCTCTTATGTTTAGGCGTCCTGGAAGTATCCTAACCTACTCATAAGCATGTACTTTTCTAAATGTGTGATCGAAAACAGACGTTCGCTCACACCTGCTTTTGACATTTCAATGTGGTTTCTTACACCTGTGAACGTTGCATCGAATTCCGTCCTCGTGCAAGTTACATGCCGTTTCAAAACATCTTGTATGCTTCGCACGACGGCGAGTAAACATATCCCTTTATCCCCCTATCCCCATTATGAACCTCGATATTTTTGCTCTCATCGTAAAAGACAAAGGCTGCATTACTACTGCGACTTTGCCACCCACAGTCATGCCACTGATGTGCCCATCATTATCATCATTATACGCGTTAGCTTGAGGTGGTAAACACCTCAGCTACTGTACTGCAATATATAAAAGGAAAAAATGAAAAAAACTGCAACAGGTGCATGCCAGCTAAGCCACCAGTAACAGATGGGCATCGCTCCGGAAAGCTACCAGTCGGCAACTCCGCAGCAAGAAAACACTATACAAAAATCAATTATGCTAAGAAATTAGATCGTGGTTGACGGGGAAGACTAAGAAAGATGAGGAGGGACAAAGAAACAGCACGAACGCCATTGAGTTCGGCTCCTTGTCATGCCAACAAGGGTATCCAGCCAAACTTGTTCATCGTCTTTCAGACCCCAACCAGGGAGCCGAGACGCTCCAACCAAGGCCAGCTTCGAAGTTAGGGCCTTCATTCCTCTTGACCAAGTCATCACTTGGCCACCCCTCCTCTTCCATCAAATTAGCCATTTTTGAGACACTGTGGAGTCAACCAGTCTCTGCATTTATTAGAGCTAAATCATTCTGGTCAGATACGCGGATTACTCTCCGCTCTGATGTTTCACACTGAACAGCTGCATTTTGGGTGCCTCGACTTTGGAACTCAATCGGATTTTTTATGCAGCTAACGAATACATGGTGTTTTTATCCCTTCTGCATACACTCCTACCGAGTTTAGTCCGAAGGCCATCAGAGATGAGTTCCATCCCCAACAATTTCCCTAGTGTCCTGTAACCAGTTAAGAATAGGCTCTGTTTACTTAGTCAGCCCGTGATCGAAAGGATCACACTGCTGCTCTTCTAAGGTCGCAGGTTCGAGTCTCTTTAGGGGACTGGACGACCCTCGTAGTATCCTTAGCCCACGCGCGACGTGGTGCTTGCGTAACTGCGGAGCGTCGGTACTATGTACCGGTGTACTGCTGATGGCTTTTTTGGTTATTTAAAAATTAGTTTGAATCACTAGTAGTACTGATACCGGAACTTTTGGGGGTGGGCAACTTATCGGCTTCACAGCGCTACCTCAGAGTCTATGCCTATCGTACCGAAAATGCCGGTCACTTTCTCCAACCGTGTGTTGAATGCGATCTCTATATTAGCGGCACATGTATTTGGCACACGCGGGCAGATCGAGCTGCACGGCACCCACTTTAAAACAGGCCACCTTAGGCTCAAAATGGACACATTGCTTTCCTTTTGGCTTTCTGCCGTATGTATAACAGGGTGGATAGATATTCCCTGAGAAACTTATCAAAGATATCGTCACAGGCACAATCACTTTACGGTTTTCAAGTTAAGTTTGACAACTCTATTATCCCATACATGTGGCACCGTTCTAGCACCTGGTGAAGTGTAAATATATGGCGGAAATGTTTCACTTCTTATTCGAGTGACGGATCTACGAGTGGACCGGTTATTCATCCTTTATAACGATTTCTTCATTTACAATGTTTTTGAAGTCGTCAACCGAATAAGTTGGAGCAGCGTTCGGTTATTATTATTAAAATAGTCGTCCCCATCTCACATATCCTCATTATCAACCGATGCTCTAACTCACCTCCGCTACCTATATCTGCTTACCGGGCAAAAGTATTTCATTCACTTCCATCCAATTGAAGCAAGTCGCGTAACCTTTTCACTCCTCAGTTGGTTACAACAACTTATAATCTTACGAACTGAAGGCTTTTGTTCTCAGGTTAACTTAATTTTTGTCTCCATTCGTCACTGCTTGCTAACCAAGTTTGGGGCCTATGATATGCGGTCGCTTTCTATGCGATTTTTCCTGTGATTATTGTTTTTGTTGTCCTTCTAAGAATTGCCGCTAACCACACTCCCATATGTTCACACTAAGATTCTGCTAGCATTCCTTTTGCTGTTGACACTGAATTGCGATTTCTGTGACCCGTACCCGTGCGCAGATATCGTGCAGTTAAACTAGGTAACGTTAGATCGCTAGGCCTCGTTGCTGTTGGAAACCTTGGAGCTTCACTGAGCTCTGAATTACGTCGTTTTCCATTTTATGAAGTTGTCATTCTTTATTGGATTGTTTATGGAGCTTTACTCTAACTTATAAACTCAACGCTTCCTTTTTAGTTTTGTATCTACCCTGGTGTCTTGCTGTCATACTCTAACTTACATCTCGACAACAGTTGTGTTTCCCTCTGAACCGTTTTAGGGTCGCTCATCAAACAGATATTTTTAGTGAGAACCGAACGCATTTTTGGATTCGGCGGTCGCTTATCCTTTGAGGCACCTAGCCGGTAACCTGTGAACTCATCCGCATACAGTGTGCCTATGCATTTTTGATTTTGTTTCTTATTCATCCATTGTATTGGTTTACCCAACCTCCATCTAAATTACTCCACTCTTAAATCAAATTTAGATACGTAAGACAAAGTAGGATAGATGTTGAGGATCGAATGAGTTGCCTCTGCTCGTTTGGGTAGTTTCGGCAACTTTCCTTTCTTCTTGTTGCGTGCGAAGTCGCCATCTGATCCCGGTTCTTCTGCAGAAGTGTTTCCCGATTTACCTGTGCCGTTTCTTTTCTAGATGCTTTTACTTTCGTTATAAAAGCACAATATCTGTTACGATTTTTTGCATTACCTTTTAGTGACCACCACATCTCACCTGCATTGTTCCATCGTCGTTTGCACGCACTCACCGTCCCTTTGTTCACCTAATAGATAGATGTTGTTGAACCAAGCAGCACGTACTCCTGGCTTCTTATTCTCACCTGATTCCCCTATAACAGACAGCTGTAACTTAGTGTCTAAAGGCGTGAACCATAGACGATATCTGTCAGTATGTCTCGCTTGTTGTTGTTGTCCGATAGATGTACTTATGGCTGCTCCTTCGTTTCAAATTGGTCCACCACTTCAAAGTTGGATTTGGAGTACTCGCCGTGTGGTTGGATTGCGACACGCAATCTCTGTTGAGTCGTCGGTTCACTTTGAACTAGACCTCGGTCATTCCGATCAAAAAGACCGTATCCGAAATGGAGGTGTTTCGGTGTTGCTGCTCCCAGCACTGACACCCCACCACTTATGTTACTGCTTGCATATTCACACTCCTACACCCATCATTGCAGTTGTGTGACCTGGCCCTCCTCCTAGCACGATCACGTGTTTGCACTGTTTTCGCGTTAAACGGGACGCTTTTGTTGTACTCTTAATTTACATCTCTCTGGCTGCGTTGGTCACAATTGCACGGACGAAAACGCATACG